GAAGCTGAGATGAAGAGCAGGCTGGATGAAGAGGGCTACAGGGACCCCGAACTGAAGCAATCAAAGATGTCACTCGATGAACAAGGCAGTGAGTAACCCGAACGCTCATCGTTCATTAAGGGTTAACAGGGGGGTTAGGGTTCCCTTGCGATGGGACATTCTCAGCACCACTGACAGCTGTTTGTAGCAATGCCGCTTGAGGGGATGACGTAAGGGGGGGTCGTTAGGGCACATGCTTCAGGGTCTGCACTGCCTGCCTGGGGTGAGATCAGGAAGGAATTCGCAGCCCTCCCATGTCACCCCATTAGCTCGGTGCACTATGAAGGGTTCTGATGGAGTGCCCGGCTAGTGAGGCCAGCTGTGCTAGGAATATCCTGCACTCCCGGGGGCCGTGGCCAGCAGGGGTGGTGAACTCCGGGTCAGCAGTGAGCTAGGTGCATTGTGGAGGGCACCAACACACCAGGCACTGGCTACCGCTGGAGATGGGCTATCAAGCTAGAGTGAGCAATGGTTCGATCGAGTATCTGGGAAATCTTACGTCCCTTGGGACTGTGTCTGTTCTGGTGGCGTGGGCTCCGGTATCTCAGGGTCCAGGGTTATGATATGCTATATATATATCAGAGTAGAGGGCTCTGCACGGTGCATAAACAGCATATATCCCTCAGGGTATAAGGTTTATGACATGCTGTATATGCACCGAGGTACATGGTTCTGAGGCCGTGTGTATTGTTTGCGTGGACAGTGTATATAGAGAAAGCATAGCAGAATCATACAATGTGAGGCTGAGAGGACCTTGAGAAGTCGTCTAGTCCAGGCCCCTGAACTGAGGTAGGGCCATGTAAACCTAGACCATCCCCAGCACGGGTTTGTTCTTAAAAACCTCCAGTGACGGGGATCCCAACAATCTCTCTTGAAAGCCTGTTCCAGAGCTCAGCTACCCTGACAGTGAGAAAGTTTTTCCTTATATCGAACCGAAATCTCTCTCGATGCAGATTAAGCCCATTCCGTCTTGTCCTACCTTCAGTGGACGTGGAGAAGAATTGATCTGGTCCTCTCGATAGCCTGCAAATATGTTATCAGATTCCCTCCGTGATCTTCTTTTCTCAAGCCGAAACATGCCCAGTTTTTTTACCCTTTCCTCAGAGATCAGGTTTCCTAAACCGTTTATCATCTGAGTGTGTATATACAGGGCTGGTGGTTCTCTTTCTCCTCCCTTTGCCTGCCCACCGACCAGCCTCCATGCCTTGCGGTTTGCTCAATGGTTTGCTCAGTCTCAAGTGGTCCCCTCATTGCAGTTTGCTGCTCCCCCTGTCTGGCATAGTACCCGATATAGATACGTTGCAGAACAAAGTGTTACATTCACAAGGAATGTTGCACAAATCCACAAAGAAGAATTTGGCCGGCTCTAGCTGTGCAATCGATGTATTAAAGTCCCGTGGATAATAACTCCGTTGTAGGACTAGCTAGGAACCATATAGATGGGCGTAAAGACAGGGGGGGTTAGAAATAGCCAAGGCAGAGCTGAATTGGTGGGCAGAGTGCAGGGGAGGCGATCACCGGGGCGTGATTAATGCAGTCGCTCAGGAGATTGTTACTACAGCTGGGTGAGTGTGTACAAACAGAGAGGGAGAGGAAGGCAGGATAGTCTAGTGGTCAGAGCATAGATTAGGGATCAGGAGACTTTTCCCAGCCCGGTCACAGACTTCCTCTGCAGCCTTGGGTGAGCTACTTAACCCGCACTGTTCCCCAGCTGAAAAATGGGGATAATGCTCCCCAATTTCACAGGTGAACTGGGAGGATGGAATCCATCGGGGATGCTCAGATCCCGGGCTGAGGAGGGTCCTCCGCCTCCCTAGAGAGAGGTGTATATTTGGATTTGTAATGACTAGTTGCTTGGCCTGGGAAAGCCGTAATTCCCAGCTGTTAGGTCAACAACAGGCTCTGTCTGCAGCTCTGACGTTATTCCCGGGGTCAATGGCTTTTACTCTGCCGAGCTGCCGGGCTCCTTCCTTGCAACCTAGGAACTTGGCAGCTCTGTGCTAGGCAGGTCCTGGGACGTACCCTTTGGGCAGAAGGGATGCTGCAAGCAAATCCAGCTGCTTGTTCTGCCTCTGTGTAGCGACGCCTCCCTTTGCTGTCTGAGTCAGATCTCCCAGCATAAGTCGCGCCAGGCTGGCTTAGTACTTGGACAGGAGACCTGCAGGAAGTGGCTTGATGAGTCAGTAGGCAGTGCTGGAGCCAATACCCAAGCGTGATGTCAGCGTGTGTTGTGCTGCTGGAGGGACCAGCTTTTATATGAGACATAAAACTGGACTCCTGCCCCTTTGTACTCGTTAATGATCCCCTGGCACCTTCTTTAAGGCGTATTCTGCACTGGTGTCCTCACTACATGCTGGCCTGGGTGATTACATTTACTCACCAACATTTCCTGCATCACTTCTGGTCCTCGACTGTTGTGCAGAGCTAATCGGCGGCTGTGTTCCACCCCAGAGGTGGCTGCACTCTTATGGCGGGTGGAAAGACGCCTAGGAATGTCACAAGGTTTATAATTAATTAACATCTGTAAAGCACTTTGTGGTTGTTCAATGAAAGGAGAAGGGCACAGTGTTACGTACGAGTGGCCACACTGGGTCAGACCAATGGCCCATTAGCCCAGTATCCTGGCTCTGACAATGGCCAGTGCCAGATGCTTCAGAGGGAATGAACAGAACAGGGCAATTTCGAGTGATCCCCTGTCGTCCAGCCCCAGCTTCTTAGAGCCTGGGTTGTATTCCTGACTGTCTTGGCTAAGAGCCATTGATGGGCCTAGCCTCTATGAGCTTATCTAGTTCTGTTATACTTTTGGCCTTCACAACATCCCCTGGCGAGGAGTTCCACAGGTTGACTGTGCGTTGTGTGAAGTACTTGCTTAATGTTTGTTTCAATCCTGCTGCCTGTGAATTTCATCGGGTGACCCCTTGTTCTTGTGGTAGGTGAAGGGGTAAATAACACTTCCCTGTTCATTATCTCCACACCAGTCACGATTTTATAGCCCTCTATCATATCCCCCTCCCTTCACAGGCACCGACTTGCTTCTTTCCTGGTGGACGCTCCACCCCCTTCCGTCCCGCCCCCACTTTAACCCTTCCCCCAAGGCCCCACCTTTGCTCCACCTCTTCCCGCCCCCACCCCCAGCACCTCCCACCCACCACCGAACAGCTGATCGGCAGGTGGCTGGTGGGTGCTGAGCACCCACCATTTTTTTTTTTGGACCACCCCTGGAGTCGGCGCTTATGCCCCCCCCTTTGTCATCTCTTTTCTAAGCTGAACAGTCCCACTCTTTTTAGTCTCTGCCCCTTTTCCAGGTCTAACTCTAATACTAGAATGATTAAATCCCCAGCACTTCCTTCTTGGCTTGTAATGAGCCCACAGTGAAAGACACCCTTGGGCGCATGAAGGCCTTTTTAATGGATGAGACAGTTCAATTGCTCCGTCCCGGCCATTTCTAAAGGATTAATGCCCTGAGCCGTCTTCAGTTCAAACAGCTTGAATCATTGCTCGGAGGCCTCTTTGGCCGTTAAATATCTGTGACGACGCGCTGGCACCGGCGGATGCTGGGTGCAGGCCTTGTTGACTCACTCCGACAGTATTTATGAGCTTTCGAATGTGCTCCGGTCTCGGGAGGACAATAATTCAGCTGGCCACAAGAACGAAGGAGACCTGGCGGGCCGGGACTTCAGTCTGAGCTCTGCTGGCCCAGTGATAAGCTGAATGATTTCCACCTCTCCCGCTACTTTCTCGCTCCAGGAGGCCAGGCAATGCTGGGGCGTGTCACAGAGGCAGCCAGGAGTTTTTGTAACTTCACCCGCCTCCACAAATACACTCAAAGGCAGGGCCCACTAAGCTTTGCCTAGACGCCGGTTAAGTCTCCACAGTGCCAGCTGTTGCAGCAGCTCTTTTCATCCCTATTACGATTCTTCTCTGGCATCGCGGCAGGTTCTAGAGGCCCCAGCCAGCGTCAGGGCCCCATTGTGCTAGGCACTGTACATACATGTAGTAAGAGTCAGAATGTATCGTCTGTCGACAAGAGAACGGGTGGGAAGGGCCACCGAGGAAGTGAACTGCCCAGGGTCAGGCATAATTAACCTTCAAAGCTCTCCTGACAGAGGCAGGTTGTCATTCTGCCGGCTGAGGCAGAGAGGTGAAGTGATTTGCCCAAGGGCACGGAGCAAGTCAGTGGCAGAGACAAGCTTTGGAGAGGAGCTTTTGGTTGCCAGCTCCGTGCTCAGATCACTAGACCACATTCGCAGGTGCTTGCAGCTGTCCCTGATGATAAAGTTTCCCATCCTGAAGCCGTCACTCAGCCATGGGCAAAGGGATCCAGAGAACGGGGACAGGGCCTGACAGTTTATAAGTAGGACATCTGCCATCAGTGCCGACACAGCAGCGCCCTCCAGAGCTAAACGCATGAGCTGCCACAGCTGTAACCGACGCTCGCCCTGTGCAGACGACACAGAGCGGGACCTGCAACCCAACCTCACCAGTGGGTGACACAAGCAGGGACACTGTCTGAATCCCAGCCCGTGAAACAAAAGGGAGCCAGATATCAAAGCCCTTGGTAAAGTCCGGGCCGGGCCTGGAACGTTTTCAGATCCTGCACTGATGGGAGGCGTCTCCTCCGACTCCCTTCACAGCAGCTGGGGGTGCACCAAGACGGCCTCGAAAGCTCTCTTGCGTGTGTGGCTGTGTGCGCAAGATGCCTGAATGGGTGTAGAATTGTGTGTGGGACAGGTGTGTGTGGGGCACAGGCCTGGTGGGCACCCACCAGTGTGTCCCGGGGACGCAGGGGTGTGTTTTTCAGCCACTCCTGGCCGGGTCGGCGGCGGTCTATGCCCTGAGTAGGGACGGAGAATGGAAACGGTGCCCCGGGCAAGGCCGGGCGATGTCAGAGACATGGCGGCAGTGGGCACACGACAGTGACCATTGAAGCTAATGGAAAACATTGCACCGTCCTAGCAGAGGATCATGCCATCTAGGAGAGGGTTTGCCGGCAGATCCAGGCACGGGTTAAGACTAGAGATGGCCTGGGTTTGATTGCCCCAAACTTGTGGGGAAGTGACTGATCCAGATCCAGACTTTGTGACTGACCCGCTATCACCATCTCTAATGGAGCCAAAACCCGGGTTAGAACCTCCCGCTTGCTCTGGGGAAGTTCGGCTCTGGAGCCGAACTCTGAGCTCTGGATTCATCTCTAATAAAGCGCACACGGGCTTTGGCTGAGGCCAAACGGGGGTCACCCAGACCCACTCGTATCTTCCCAGAGCGGCAGAGGCTCGGGGGCCCGAAAATGGTGAGGAACCCGTACGGGAGGAAAGAGGGAGATCAAGTAATGCAGTCACTTATCCTGCCTGTGTTAGGTATGCCCAGTACCAACAGAACGCTCCCCCTGGCACCATCCCCTTCCATTGCCCCTCTGCACCCGGCTGCTGGCATCCTAGTGCCATCCGCATCCATCGCTGTTTTGCACCAGGGTGGCACTATTCTAATCCCGTCTCCATCCATCGCTACCTTAGTGACATCCTCGCCCACCACCACTCTGCACCCTGGCCTGCGGGAGTTTGTATTGCCTTAATCACCCAGCCTGGGTTTTCCAAGCGCAACAGCTCAATCTCCCCTCCCAGCTCCAGCTTCTGAGCTGATCTCGCAAAGGTCCCGAGGGACCTTTCGGTGGCTCCTAGAACCGCCTGGTGTGAGTTTGTCCCTGCCAGGCAATGACCCACGGAGGTATTGCTGTCAGTTTCCCTATAATTGCCTGGTTATTGATGATAAATAAAAGGCTTGTTTTGACTAAAGACAGAAGCCACTTGTGGCTGACCTGTTACTGTCACCAGCCAGCGAGAGGCAGCTTCCAGGTCGATTGGTGTGTTAGATTATGCGAGTGTGCGCCTCTTTAGGGGTGCATTTGTGCATGTCCTCTGTGCGTCGGGAGCTGAGTTTCAGGTGGTGAACGACATGTCTCCCTTTGAAGGAGGGATGTGTGAATGGCTATATGTGTCCGTGGGAGCTGTGTGGGTGCGTGTCCCTGCGTCGTGAATATTTGTGTGGCTGGCAGCCACTCTGTGGGAGTTGTGTGATTGTGCATGTGCCCGTGTGGATGCCCGGCCCAGTGTCTCTCTGTCTCAGTGAGGCGTGTGTGGGTGTGAGCTGTGTGTAAGGTGTGGGGATGTAAGCTTTGTGTGAGATGTGTGTCTCGGCAGGGGTGTTAGCTGTGTGTCCCTGTGTGTGAGGTGTGTGTGGTTGTGAACTGTGTCTCTCTGTGGGTGTGAGCTGTGTGTCTCTCTGTGTGATGTCTGTGTGCGTGTGAACTGCGTGTCTCTGTGTGGGTGTGAGCTGTGTGTCTCTCTGTGTGAGGTGTGAGCTGCGTGTCCCTGTGTGGGTGTGAGCTGCGTGTCTCTGTGT